ATAATCGCTTGGTGCCAAGTCTGGACTATACGGTGGGTGCAATAGAACCTCCCATCCAAGCTCTCGGAGCTTCTGGCGCGTCGTTAATGATGTATGCGGCCTGGCGTTGACTTGATGGAACACAATACTCTTACTGTTGGCCAATTCTGGCCGCTTCTGGTCGATCGCCTGCTTCAATCTGGTCAGTTGTTGACAATAGAGGTCCGAATTGAGTGTTTGGCCAGATGGGAGCAGCTCATAGTGGATGATTCCTTTCCAATCCCACCAAATACACAGCAAAACCTTCTTGGCCGTTAATACGGGCTTGGCGATCGTTTGGGCCGGTTCACCGCGATTGGACCACGATCTTTTTCGGCTGTTGTTCTCGTATGTGACCCATTTTTCATCACCAGTTACCATCCGCTTCAAAAATGGGTCCATTTCGTTACGTTTCAGCAAAGAATCGCAGGCATCAATTCGGTCTAAAAGGTTCTTTTGCGTAAATTCGTGTGGCACCCATACATCGAGCTTCTTCTTGAGACCAGCCTTATGCAAATGGTTCCAAACGGTTTTCTGGCTAATCTTCAGTTCCTGGGCAATGGAATAAGTGCTCACATGCCGGTCCGACTCGACGATTTCCATGATTTTATCGACATTTTCGACGATTGGCCTACCAGAGCGTGCCTCATCTTCAACGTCCATATTACCAGAACGGAATCGTTGGAACCACCGCTTTGCTGTTGCATTCGATACTGTATTGGGTCCATAAACAGCACAAATTTTTTTGGCCGCCTGCTCCGCCTTTTCACCTTGGTCGTAGTGGTACTGAAGAATGTATCGAATTTTCTCTTTTTTTACCTTCATTTTGGAACGCTGTAACACACAACTGCCTTGACCAAACACAAAACTGTCACAGAACTTTTTTTGAAGCGTAATGTTACCTTTAAATCGACGTATAATATGACCCGATGTATACATCGTGAGATATGGCTCACTAAAGACATCTAGCGGAAAACGCTCAGAACTTTTTACTTCACCTAATAGAATACTATTTTTATTTAACGGGTAATTTCAAAAATACCGCTACTACTGTTGTCTCTTAGATTTCTGCTACAACTTTAAGCGAGATCTACAATGAGATCTGAAGGCGCAAGCCTTAAGAAATTGACCAATCACAGTCCAATATGAAGAGAATAACCGTTTGTGATTGGTCAATTTTTTAAAACTTACGCCTGAAATTTTCACTGTAGACCCCGCTTTAAAGGTCATTCTACATTAGTCGCAAGCCGATTGTAAAGAGATGCAACTCTTGTTGCAACAGCCAATCAGAAGCGTCAATAGCACCGTTGACGTTTCTAATTGACTGTCGCCACAAGAGTTGCAATCGACTAGCAACTAATGTAAAACGACCTTAAGGTACCAAGATGGCCGCGACGACGATCCCTCTTGCCTCTCAGTTAGTTCATTCCCCGCGTACGTAAGGGTGCTTCATGTTCTATCCAGGTATTCTTACGTCCGTGACATAAGCAGTAAGACGAGGAACATCATTTTGCTGTTTTCGGGAAACGATATTTTATATTATTTGTGAGTATTTTCATTATATATGAAAAGAACAATTATATATGTGTAACATTATTCCATTTATTTTACAAGTTTAATAAAACATTAAATATTTTACTATGACGGATCTTTTAATTGTTGTTATACCATTTCATTACAGCTTAATTGCTTAATATAAGTTCATTTATATCTAAATCATGTCGAAACGTAAATTGGATAATATGATAGAAAATGAGTTCGATAAACAGTCTGGACAGCCACTTAAAAACTCACTGGACTCTGATGAAGATGACGATGAAACAAACGAGGATGCCTATAATGTCATGAATGAAGATGAATTTGAAGGTTCTTTTCTCTCTATATATATATATGTGTGTGTGTGAATAATGATATTTAAGTAGAAATTGTTAATGTATTTATTTTTATTCTTACTCTTGCTGTATATAATTTATTATTTTACACAATATAGCATATGTAAACGTAACACTATATAGCTTGATGGTATTTGTCAAATAGGCACGGAAGATGGACCTTCAGTAGCAGAAACAAATGTGGGATTTACAGCATTTAATATGAAAGAGGAATTGGAAGAGGGTCACTTTGATAAAGACGGTCATTATCTTTGGAACAAAGAGAAACAAATAAGAGATAACTGGTTGGACAATATTGATTGGATCCAGGTGAGTAGGATAAGTACACTTGCAGTACACATGAATATTACAATCAGGTATTATTACATGTATCCTTTGCAGGTTAAACCAAGTTCCACGACTGAACGAAAGGATACTAAATCGGACGAAGCTCATGGACTAGGAGACAGTGATAGTGATGAAGGAGATATTATGTTTGATTCTACTCCATTGTATAAACAAATGCTGGAGTATATAAAACCGGGTGAAACGGTTTCTAAGGCGTTATGTAGACTCGGTGAGTGATCGTTGATCGTGCATTCGTATTCGCGCACAAGTGGCGAGTGAATGTAAATTATTCCGATTCAGGTAAAGGAAAAAAGAAGTTAACCACAGCTGAAAGATGGAAGAAGAAAAAAGAATGCAAAACACTCGTGGAGGAAGACCAAAATTCTGTTAACATAACAAAATTGACGGAGTTAGCGAATGAGCTGTTAACACGTACCGGTAACATGGATATATATCAGGAAACCTACGAGCAAATCACAAAAAAAGTAATGCTGGTTACAACTGTGTAACATACGCATGTTTACTAGCTTTATTATAAAAATAGTAAAAAGGATGACCGTTCGCGCATCCTCCGAAAAAGAAGAAGGTCGGACATGTTTTATTCGCGGATAATCTTGAGCGGTTATTACGCGGGAAGATTTGTTTTTTGTATCACATATGTGAAAGTGTCTATTGTCTTATCGATTGCACTATCACATCCACGTGCATAGGCTCTCGTGTGCCCTTTGATCGTTAATTGTTTATTATAAGAAATAATTTTTTATAGGTCGAACAGGCCAACAAGCATGCGCCACCTTCGAAACAAGAAGCAGAACTAGATATGTATGCCGATGATTTCGATGAGAAGGAGAAGGCGAAATTGGATGACACTGATAGCGGAGCCGGTAATTTTTATATCACGTATGTTATCCGTGGACATACATGTAAGGCGCGTGTACATCCTGTACAGATAAGGCAGCGGTGGCAACCAGCGAAGAAAAGTCTTCGCCTTCGGAGGAAGACATTATGTGGGAGCTGAAATGGTCACAGGATGACGATGCGGAGATACACGGGCCTCATACTAGTCAGCAAATGCATGCGTGGGCAAACGAGGGATATTTCAAAAAGGGCGCTTGGGTGAGGAGAAGCGGGCAACAGAATCAATTTTATAGTGCAGCCAGGGTAGACTTTGAGCTCTATCTGTGACACTTCTGCCTGACGCAGAAAGACGCGAGAGAGGGGATAGATGTATGAATTTCTGTTAAGTTCTCAAAACTATAACAGTAGTATGTGGGATTTTATATATATATTGATTTATATAAAATTCTCTCACAACAGATGTCTGTACAAATTCATCAAAGGTCACTATTGATGTATTATGTACACGTAAACCTTTTAAGGGAATTCGATACCTAAGTGTAAAAACAAGGCGTTTCTTAATAAAATATGAAATACGAGGATACTTCGTTGTATTGTAAATAAAGGAAGGGAGAGAGAGAGATTCGCCGAAAAGAGTGGAAATATTCCAGAACTAGCGTATTTGTGTGAAAAGTTTGGAAATATACAAATGTGGAGAAAATGAACTCTAAATTCGTTGATATTATTCTGGTTGGAACTTGCGATTTAATTTCAAAGTAAGTTTTACGCAACGGTAATGAACTCTCGACTATTGAAGAGGTATTTCACGAATAAAGTGCATGTGATGCGTTCCATTGCTGTGCATATTCACGTACATCTCGTTGCGTTATTGAAAACCATCTGGCATGGTACTTAAATTAAGAGAGACCTAAACTCATACTTCAGAGACTTCCTGCGCGGTACGCGATGGGAACGTCGAGAGAATGTCGAGATTTATGGCCTCTCCGCGCGCGCGCGCGCGCGGAGCGTGCTATTTTTAAATAGAATTTTATCCCTAAAGTAAATCTATTTGTACCTTTACGATATATATGGTGGGCTAGCCGGGCTAACCCTTATTTATCCAGCGGAGTGGAGTCCTCTTCTCCTTAATTCTTATATTTATTTGGCACGTTTCACGGCACGGAGGTTTAGGCTTTCTCCCGGCGCGGAAAGCAAAACAGCTCGCTGGAGAGAAAGAAAAGGCGCGGAAGGCGAGCTTTCAGAATCTCCCCGAATATTTATTTATTGCAACAAATTAACTCACCCGCGTCGCTGCTCGTCGTCTTGCCGGTCACGTAGCCGCAGCACGAAGACCTCGCTCAATTTTCTACATTCTTATGCAGGGATAAACGAAGAAGGGACTGAGACATGTACTTTGGTCACACACATATCACGAGGATTGCGCAAGAGAGAACATCGTGGGACGGGAAAGGACGATTGGATGAGTCTAAACAGAAGATACGCGACATCGATATCGTTACATCGGATCGAACGGAAATTGCATCGATAAATTTCCGCGGTGTGTGTGTGTGTGTGCGTGTGCGTGCGTATGTGTGCGTGTGTGTGTATGTCAGTAGACAATTGGCACATTGTTGTTGTTTTTTTTACTGAATATAATTTTATTAAACGTCTTGAACATTTTTATTAGCAATGTATGAAAGTCTTATACGAGATTGCTTAAAATATTATTTTAAGTATTTCGTGTACACGCAAAAAGTCGTTCAGACACGAACATTTGGGAGTATACGTGTGCATGCATATATGTATATATATATTTTTTTATATTTATATATTTATATATGTGTATATATACGGAGTGTTTTCGGGTTCGCGTCTATGCTCCGCGCGACGAGATCCTTTGATTAATTGCGAGTCAATTCCTTTCCCGGCTGAAACTCTATTGGACACCATTTTTCGATACTTGATATTAAACGCCCCGGTAACTTGGTTCTTAATTAAACTTCTGTTTAAGTAAAGACAACTTGAGATTTATTGGGGCATAAGCGCTCGACACACATCCACATCCATACACACGCACATACACGCACATATACACATACATACACGCACAACTGACGATTCTGAAGTTTGGTTTATGAAAACCCGTTAGGATTTTTAATCGCTCACGACGCAACAGTTTTATTAATGCTTCGGACATTTTTCCTCGGGTAAGATCGATTCTGCGTTAGTCAAAGAATCTCACTGGGCGACGAGGCGAATAGACGAGAACACTCCGTACATACGCATGTACATTTTTCGTAAGTATATAAATTCGTAGCTTGTCTCGAAAGATTAGAAAAATCCGAAGCGAAGTGTTTAAACGTAGGTGACTACGCTAGATTATATAGTAAGAAGTATGAATGATCGACACACGCATTTTTCTTTTTCTTTCTTTTTTTTTTGGTCGCTACACGAATCGATCGTAATTGAAGGAGTCTAAATACGACTACGATTACTAAAAGTGCTGTGAAATACATGCAATGTACACCCGTTGCTCATCCAAACCCAACATATGCGCGTGCGTTTAATAAGTTCATCAACGATCGCATGCTCTTTGCTCAATAATCAAGAGGTCGTGGAAAAAAATGCTCGACATTCACGGACTCGCAACGTTTATATCGCTTTGAGGCTTTGCCGAACGAGGTTTTTCTCGCCCATGATAGACGTTAGAGAATCCATAAGCCCGAACGAATTTGTTCCCGCGTGGAAAAGTTGAATTTGCATATTGCATTAACCATCTGATCACACACAAGACACTGCTCGCAATTGAACCTTTCTAAAAAAACCAGCAAGACTAATAAGAGTTCATTAATCAATGCCTGTAACCATCATCCTCGCAACCAGTAAAGAAAGCTAGAGGTTCTACCTCATAAATTTAAGAAGAACATCAAGAAATTTAAACATCGAGATAATTCAAGCTATACTACAAATCGAACATTCTATCCGATATCTCTTATTTAGCTAATTGTTGCTAATTAACTAATTGTAGGAAGGAGTCGCCCGAAAAACGAAAGTCTCGGATTCATGTCCCGGCCTAGCTAAATCTTAAGATGCTAGTAGGTTCTGTCGACTCTTTCTTACAATTAATTGTTTGCACCGGCATTCAGTTTTTCCCTAAATTTAAGAAGAACATCAAGACATTTAAATATCGAGATGATTCAAGCTATATTATAAATCGAACATTTCGTTCGATGCCATGTATTAAACTAATTGTTGCTTATTTAACAAATTGTAGGAAGGAGTTGACCGAAAAGCGACAGTCCTGGGGTTCGTGTCCCGGCCTAATTAAATCTTAAGATGCTAATAGGTTCTGTCGACTCCTACCTATAATTAATTGTTAGCACCGTTATTCAGCATTTCCTTAAATTTAAGAAAAACATCACGACATTTAAACATCGAAATAATTCAAGCTATATTACAAATCGAACATTCGGTGCGATGTCGCTTACTTAACTAATTTTCGCTTATTTAACTAATTTTAGGAAGAACTCGCCCGAAAAGTGACAGTCTCGGGTTCGTGTCTCGACCTAGCTAAATCTTAAGATGCTAGTAGGTTTTGTCGACTCCCTCCTACAATTAGTTGTAAGAAGTCGACAGAACCTACTAGCATCTTAAGATTTAGCTAGGCCGGGACACGAACCCGGGACTGCCGCTTTTCGGGCGACTTCTTCCTACAATTAGTTAAATAAGCGACAACGGACAGCATGTTCGATTTGTAATATAGCTTGAATTATTTCGATGTTTAAATGTCGTGATGTTTTTCTTAAATTTAAGGAAATGCTGAATAATGGTGCTAACAATTAATTGTAGGTAGGAGTCGACAGAACCTATTAGCATCTTAAGATTTAATTAGGCCGGGACACGAACCCAGGACTGTCGCTTTTCGGGCGACTCCTTCCTATAATTAGTTAAATAAGTGAAAATTAGTTAAATAAGCGACATCGAACTGAATGTTCGATTTATAATATAACTTGAATTATCTCAATGTTTAAATGTCTTGATGTTCTTCTTAAATTTAGGGAAAAACCGAATGCAGGTCCTATCCAAAAAGTGTTGATGATTTTGCGAGTAGCCTCGGGAAGTCCACGATTGACGCAAACGAGGTAAAACCTCTGTTTTCTTTACTGGTTGAGAGGATGATGGTTGCAGGTGCCGATTGACGAACTCTTTATTAGTTTTGCGGTTTATTTAGAAACGATCTATTGCGAGCGGTGTCTTGTATATGATCAGATGGTCTAGATTCGTTGAAAGTCAAATACCAGCTCTGGTTATCGAGAGCCGCTGTCGATTATATAGGCAGCGATAGTCAACAATAACGAACTCCGAGAATGTTCTCGAAGGAGCCGAACAATGCGAGAGGCAGTAAATAACAAATATAAACAATCTAACGTCTCTCGCCAAGGCAAGAATTTAAATTTAAAAAGTGATACGAAACAATATATATCCGGTGGGAAAATGTATGGAAAAGTGAGAGAATGAAATTTGCTCTATGAAAAAATATGTTCGATTATTCTCTATCTTTATCAATTATGCGGGTCTTTTTGTCGGACCGGCGTCAAGTGAAAGGAAACAACCGTAACTTTACGCTTTTGTAAAAATTATTGTGCCCACACACTTATAAGAGACATTAATCAGACGTCGCGTGAAATTATTGGTCGTGAGCTACTTGTTTTCACGCACTCGCACGAGAGGGATCGCTCACACACAGAGGAAAATATTATTTTGCCGGCACAGCAAATTGTTAGTTACTATGAGGACGGCGGAAAGATTTGTTTTACGGAAAAAATAATTTTACCGTTGTAGCGAAACGTCGTTACAGCGACAGCGATAAAATTTAGTTGGCCTAACCGAATTATCTCGCTGTCCGTGTATCCAGCAAACAGTAATTAGTACACCGAGAAAGAGAAATTGAAATTTCGCGAAGTAAATGTTCCTTCTGACATCTTGCCCGAGGTTTATTTATGATTAGGAAAAAACTTCACTGCGATGACGGAATGCATATTTTTTGTGAAACGCATCTAAGTTTTCTCATTAATTAGTTTGCTAGGAATAAAATTTCATTTCTATTTAAATAAACGCTTATTTTTCTGCGAAATAAACCGTCATATCGAAATAAACGAAATATTCACAAACAAATTTTTAAGTCCTTTTTCTCAGTATACCATTAACGAATCTCTCTGCTGTCGAAGCAAATCTTTCCGCTGCTCGAGCGAATTTTTCCGCAGTAACAATCCGCCGTGCCAGCGAAATATCCCTCCCCTCCCCTGTGTAACGCCCTCCCGACTTCTTCCGCGAATATCAGTGGATCGCGCGGGTCCACTCGTGAATGAATGTACACGGCGGTGATCATCGGCGAGAGTTGATCCCGGAGTCGCGGGAAATGTTAAATCGCGAAAATCCACCGCCGACGCGGAAATACGAAGCGGTGAAGGTACATTGCATCACATTCACGCGTGTGTGTCGACGGAGCGAGTTACTTTGGTCTTTTTCAAGGCTGAAAGGACGCGAATACAGCCGGGGAGAACACAGGGGACGTTCGGACGAAGAGGGCGACGAAAATGGGGTAAGAACGGCACATGTACGAGAGAGCGGACAAATGACACATGCCGGTTTCATAAACGCACGCGAAACGGAAAGGCGAGAGATACCCCTCGCGCCGTTCCCTCGCCTCCTCCCCCACCCTCCTGCCGGAGCTTATCCTTACGTGATGCTGGCCCTTGAGCGAGCCCGTTTTCGATCGCACGCGAGAAGAAGTCGAAGAGAAAGTCCTGCGAGTGAACATTTCGGGAAAGGAACGACGACCGTGTTGTCACGCGCGTTTGTACATCGGCGTTATGAAACCGGCGCTGCTGGGACGATACGCACACACATACGGACGTTCACAAATACACGCACATACACGCACACGAGGCAGGGGAGAAACAAGTAAAACGGGCACTCACATTATGGACGTTTACGCGCGGCTGAGGGGACGTGATTCATCGTGTCGGTGTCGGAATGGTCGAGACGCTTCTCGCTTTCTCTCTACCTTTCGATATACATTACTTCCGCGGATTTATTCCCCGGCATAAGCCGAAAGCAGCGGCACCGCCAACGACAGTCGAATTAACATTGACGTTATTATACGTTTAATTGCGCGCGAGACGCGAGTTCCGATCGGCGAACGGACGCGGCTCGCATTAGCGGTGTATTTCTCTCTCTTTCTTTCTCTTTTTTCCCTCAACAGCCGGGTTTCGTGCGCCGGGAATAAATCCACGGGGCGCTTCCTGCCCCGCGGCAAAAAGCGCGGTTCCTCCCGACTGGTTCCGACACCGGGTATACATTCGACATTACATGGGCTGTATATACATACAAAAATAGCCGCGAGAGAGCAGCGGCGGCACGCCTCAAACGCATCGAAGTCCCCGGATGAGGAGGATGCTTCGGGAAAGGAGCGCGCACACACGCACACGAGGGCACGTGAGCGTGTCGGCGAGAGAGGAGGAAGGGTGAGGAAGAACGTTCGACGACGAGGGGCCTCTATATCCCTCTTCTCAGGGGGACACGCCTAAGGTCCCGCGCTACGACCCCTCTACAATGAAGCATCTCTCTCTCTCTCTTTCTCTGCTTCTCTCGCCTTTCTCTTGGTCGTTCTCCAGACGAGACGCACATAGCATGACTAACTACCATGACTAACGAGTCGGGCGAAGTGCCACCGAGGAATCTCGGCTAACCGAGCGCGAGAGGAGGGTGGACGAAATATTTTCAGATCCGATATCCCCAGTCGGCACCCGCGCGGGGGGTGGTCCCTCCCCGTTCGAGTCCCCTCTCGGACCCTCGGCGTCGTCCCGCGGATGCCGCTCGCGGATGGACTCGCGCGAGATTAAAGGCGAACGGAGAAGACGGAGATCGTTAAAAAGCGCCGTTGAAAGCGGCTGGGGAGAGGAAGAAGCAAGGAGAAAGAGGGGAAAGGGGAGGAAAAATGAAAGAGAGAGAGAGAGAGACAGAGCGGTAGCCATGTTTTAGACTAAAGTCAACGTTTACGTAATTACACCCGGCCATCAGGCCGTACGAATCTCATATTTCCGAGCGCATCTTCGCCGCTATCGCATGAAAGCGGCCGGGCTTTCCCGGTTTGAGATTTTATCCGCCGACGATCATCATCAGGATGGCCCGTGTGGTTTATATCCTCCACGATACGAATGCACACCAAGTCCTGGGGATTCCCGAACGAGACAGATGCAAATAGAGGCCGCGACGGTAAGGTCCCCCCTCTTCCCAACGTTTACACGGTCCGTGAGTAGCTGCGACGTAGACGTATCTCGGATATTTGCTTACGATTTAAGTTTAATCGCGCGCGCGATCGGGGAGGCGGCGCGGGACCGACGGGGCGAAACGGAGCGAGAGAAATGGCGGGAGATGAACGCTTAATGTCGGTAATCAAAGTTGTAAATTGGATCGGATTTAATCCCTCCTCTATCTCTCTATCTCTTTCTCTCTCTCTCTCTCTCTCTCTTTATCTCACTCGCCTCGTGCGCTCGAGAGCGACAAATAAACAAAGAGGCACGCCGGCGGAAAGACGCGAAGGAAGAGAGATATCGGGGAAGCCATCGGTCTCGTCATACCACTCGCGCCCGCGATATCCGGAGTCTCGATCGCGCGTCTCTCGAAATTGCAATAAATCAGGCGGCTCGACAGTTCGAACACATTCCCTCCCTCTCATCCTGACTGCCTCACCCTCTCTTTTCATCACCCTCCGTCTAGCGGGCTTTCTCCTTTCAGCGGGCCCGTCGTAAAACTCCTCTCGCGTAATCAAAGGAAAAACGATCGAGGACGGCGGCTTGCCGAGTTCTCGACCGTGACGATCGATCCGCGTCCCGGAACTTCCGAAACTTCGCCAGCCGAGATGGACGAGAGAGAAAGAGAGAGAGAGAGAGAGAGAGAGCCGTTTTCGACGGCTCCGCCGAAAGCGAGGGAGAAGATTCGTGACGGCGCGCGGCCTTGTAGGTCAGTGGACCGCGCACGGGAAGCACGTTAATAGGGGATTTTCATTCAGCGTTCCCGCCGGGCTTCTCGCTCCGGGGAAAATTAATTTTTCAGGCCGAGAGTGACAGAGGGAGAGAGAGAGGGGGAGGGGAGAACGGGCGAAGAACGTATCACTTACGAGGCCGCGGAGGAAGTCCGGGGAACGTTGTTTCGTCTAATCACGTTAAAGCCAAACGCCCGTCGTAAATATACCGTCGATTTTCCCACTCCCATTTTTTCCACTCGCCCCCTCCCCCAACCCTCCCTCCCTCCTTTTCCCCCCTTTTTTTTCTCGCTCTCTCCCGTTTGTTTCGCCCGGTTTTTCCTTTTGCACAGCGGAGCACTATCATTTTTTAAACGGCCGACCGGACCCCGTTCGCAGCGAATGAACGTTGATGCGAATTGATGGGGATTGCCGACTATCTGGGGAACTGTGAACGTTTCGCCGGAACGGCGGTTTCCATACATTTTTTATGAAACCGTCCGCATATCGAACGCGACGCGGCGAGCGAGAGAGAGAGAGAGAGAGAGAACGGTGAATTCTCCGCGTCTCTCGCGTTAGAGGAGTGCGGATCCTCAAGGAAATTAGCTCTTTCTCCGCCCGGCCGCACGTACATCGCGAAGAGAAAAGAAGAAGAAAAAAGAACAAGGGAAAAAAGAAACCCGTAATTCGCGCCGTGAAAAATAAACTCGTCCTTGAATACATCGCGATTGCCAATAATCTTTCTCTTTCTCTCTCTCTCTCTCTCTCTCTCTCTCTCTTTCTATCTATTTATCTCATTCTCTCTCTCCCTCCTGGAACTTATGCACCGCGTGTCCCGATGTTATTCCGACAGGACCGAAGTCAATTTCGATCTCTCGTTAATGTCCCATTACCATATTGATGCGCGCTTAACGAACTTCTTTCGCCGCGACAGCACGATTTCGCGCGATGATGACGATTGTTCGTTTATTATGAGAGAAAAGAGTAGAAAATTTTGTCAGCGTCCGCGGGAGGACACGTCGCGACAGTGCCGAGGAGACGCGCAAGAAGGTATTATCCCGGAACGTTTTCCGGCTCGCGCGTAAAGTTCGCCTACTTTTCGCTTCAAGACCTCGCCCCTCTGTCTTTTTCTCGAGGAGCGAGTCCGAGTAGCGAAATTCGAAAAAAGCGCCCTTAATCTCTCCCTTTAAATTCCGCCGTTGTGAAAGTTCGAGCTGCGACCTGTAGTAGGAAAATGCGATTCAGTAACGAGACTTAATCTCCGGGTGTTGCAAACTACGACTCGCGAAGTTGCCTTACAAGCGGATCCAATTAGGAAGTTTTGCATATTCTGTTAGGTTCCGCGGACGCGGTGCGTTTGGAGGCGTGCGCAAAAACATACAAATAGGTTCTCAGGATCGTAATCGCGTATTCGCGTAACGACTTCCACCGCCGTACGTAACGTCGAGGGATAACGCCGCCGGCGAATCTCTCCTCTCCTTTCTACCTTCTTTCCTTCATCCTCCTCCTCTCTTTCATCCTTCTTTTCTCCTTCTTATTTTCTCTCCTTCCTCCTTTTCTTCTTTTCCCTCATGCGCTCGGGACGAAATCATTACGTCGAAGTACGCGAGTACGAGCCTCTGCGACGACACGGTGTGCCTTCCCGCAACGGAAATGTACGCACGTGGTGGTTTCGTTACTGCATTAAGTATATTTTCGTATTCAAAAACGTAACATCTCTTTCTTCTTTTTTTTCTTCTTCCACAAACTTAACACATATATCTCATAAATTAATAAATAAATATATATATTTGTATCTTCGTTATTATATTGCACTCGCTTTCGCTTCGTATATAAACGTGTCCTTTTCTCGTAGTTCCTAAAATGTACTCGGTGTAGTGTGCTTATACAGTAAAAAGGTCGTAACTATTATTGCTTCAATTTACAACACTTCGTACGAACGAGGGTTCCTCTCCCTTCCTCGGGTCGGTCGCAAAAGAGAGGAAAGAATCGGTTTCGCGACCTTTAACGTAATTTGCTCCCTTAAGCGTGTCTCGTGTGTGAGGAACGTGCTAACGCAATTCTCAGCGAACAACTCATCGCACCCTCATTAACCCCGTAGTAATAGTAGCGGTAGTAATAGTAATAGTAGCAGTAATAGTAGTAATAGTATTAGCAGCAGTAATGGTGGTAGTGGTGATGGTGGAGGGCAACGTTCGGCGCGTTGCCGATACGCGGAGAGAGAGTGTACTACTCGGAGATCTCGAGGCCGGAGGCCTTCCTCAGCCTGGAACGGACTTTAGGACGAGGGAGTATTAATCTCTAAGGGTAGCTAGTAATCTCTAGGACGATCCTTTTAATCGACTAACCGCGACGCCAGCTTTGATTTGATTTGTCACCACCTGTTCTAAACGAGCCCGACGAAATGAAGGCGCTTCGCCTACCGCAAAAAACCAGTGCCGCATTCGCACTGAGCTCCGGCGGATTTTCAACGCAATCCTCGAAAATAAATACGGGTCCTCGGCTCCCTACGGTCGGCGGTAGTACGCAACGTACTCTTACGTTCCCGCACAATTTACATTCCGAGTCAGATTGTGTTCCCTCAGTGAGAATGCATGCTGGCTCTCTCACTCGCTCTGTCACACTCTCACCCTCTCCCTCTCTTTCACTCCCACTCAATTTCTCTCTCTCTTTCTCTCTCTTTCCATCCCTCTCGCGTTCTCTCTCTAGCAGCGACGCAACTATCTCGGAAGACATTTCATTTTCACTCGTCCACACGGTTGCTTCTGTTTGTTCCTGAGGGATAATTTCAGCGTGTCGCGCGTCACGGCCGCCGGTCCTCACGAGCGAAACGCGGCGCACATTCGTTCACGCTCCGAGCAACGGGATCCCGGATCATAATCCACTCTCCCGCCGCCGCTGACGGTGGTCGTCGCCGATCATTTCCGCCGCCGGCAAACGGGAAGCGGCGCATCGACTTTCGGGACACACTCTCGCGTCTCGCCGGCGGTCCACCAATTGCTCGGCTGTGGACGTTGCTTTCCCCTTCTCTCCTCCTCCTCCTTCGGACGAACGAACACAGCACTATCGTCCGGACGCGACCAAACAAACGTCCAGCACTTGGACGCGCGTTTACGCCCAAGTTCTCTTGGTCCTGGTGTGCGGCCTGAGACGTGCGGCGCACTGATAACCGGCGATAAGCGATCGCGGCGGTATCGCGCCGCCCGTAAATTCAACGGCCGAGATATCCGCGAGGATCCTTTATACTTGCGCGGAGGGGCACAACATTCTCCATACAGGCCCCCCGGTGAAGATACTCCCCGTTTCGGCCGGACTCTCGCCGATCGAGCCGGGCAAGACGACGTTCGTCTCAGACGAAGACGACGTGCGGCTTCTCCGAGAGCAGGGGCGGCGGCGGCGGCGACTCGTAATCGTAGTCGTAGCCGAGCCGGCGCGCCGCGGGGCTGTGCGCACGATAGAGCGAGCGCACCTCCGGTGGCTCGTCCCGCAGACCGGTCACGTCCGCTACCGCGTACACCCCCTCCTCCGGCTGCTTCCTGTAGGACGGGGCCGCCGGCCGGGCGTACCGCGGCGTCTCGTAGATGTTCGCGTCCGTCTGGGGGCTGGCCGCCGCCGTCCCGGCTGCCGGAGGCTTGCCGCCGCGCGGCGAGTCGTAGGAGGTGTCCTCGGTGCGGGCGAGCAGCCGCCGGCTGTAGGACTCGGCGTTCTTGTCCAGCTCGTTGTCGCCCCGGCCGACGTAGACGAGGAACTCCGGCCGGTTCGGCGCGGCGTACGCCAGCCGCCTCTTCCTCTTCGCCCTGGTGAGGTGAGCGACGAGGGCGAGGATGGCCGCGGCCGCGGCCAGGCAGCCGGTCGCCGACAGCGACATGTAGAGCAGACTGAGGCGGCAGCGCAGCGAGCCCTCCGCGAGCGCGATCAGGGCCTTGCCGGCGAACTCCTCGTCGCTGCAGACGATGTCGCGGGTGTCGAGCTCGAGCCGGGTCTCGTTCCTGCGCTCCTCCGCGCGTATCACGTTCCACAGCCAGTGGACCGAGCAGTTGCAGACGAGGGGGTTGCCGCCGACGCGCAGGTGCGACAGCCCGTCGACCGGGAACTGCGTCGGCTGCAGCGTCGCCAGGCTGCAGCGGCGCAGGGAGACCCACCTGAGGTAACGGGCGCCGTAGAGGACCCTCGCGGGCAGCTCGCGCAGCTCCCGGTTCCCGTCCATCGAGATCCGCTCGAGGTTCACGTTGTCGGCGAAGGCGCGCGCGTTCACGGCCCCTATCGTGCAGTCGTTCAGCTCCAGGCTCCGCAGCTCGAAGAGGTTGCGGAAGGCCACCGCCTCCAGGGAGCCGAGGGGGTTCGCGCTGAGCACGAGGCTGCTGAGGACACTGAGACGGGCCAGGGCGGCGGTAGGCACGGACGTTAGATTGTTCCCGGAGAGGTCCAGGTGGAGGAGATCCGGCAGACGGTCGAACGCGACGTCGGCGATGCTCCTGATGACGTTGTCGGAGAGGTTCAGCGAGACCAGGGACGGCAGGGACGGCAGGGAGTCCCGGTCGAGCTCGAGGATCAGATTATCCGACAGGTCGACGCGCTCGAGGCTCGGCGCCAGCGCCAGGTTGCCGGTCGGCACCTCCAGCAGGGAGTTCTTGCTGAGGAGCAGCGCGCGTATCTTGTGGAGGTTCCTCAGCAAGCCGTCCGGCAGGCTGGTGATGGAGTTGTCGCTGAGATTCAGCACCTCCAGCTCGCTGGTGTACTTGAACGCCTGCTCGTCCATCTGCGAGATGTTGTTGCCGGCCAGGTTCAGCTCCTTCAGGGAGCTGAGGCCGCGCAGGGCGTTCTTCGCCAGCGTGCGTATCGCGTTCTCGCTCACGTTCAGCGTCAGCAGGTTCTGCTGCAGGCCGAAGTTCTCCAGGCCCAGCGTGTGGATGAGGTTCGAGCTGAGATCCAGACTCTCCAGGTAACCGTAGAAGCTGAAGGTCAGGTGCACGCTCGCCACGCGATTGTTCGACAGGTCCAAGTGCCGTATCTCCGGGTTCAACTGGATCGGCACGACCTCGAGGCCGGCGTGGGCGCACGAAGCGCGTAGACTCTCGTCGTCGCAGCGACACCGCGGCGGGCAGAGGCCACTAGCCACGACTGTCATCACGGCGGCCATCGCTATCGCGACCGGCAGCGTCGACGGCGACGGTCCACGTGATGCCATTCCATATGAACTCCTTCCGAACTGGAACCGCCCTGCAAGAGGGAAGACCGAACGACGGAGCGCATATTAATCACGTGGATATGATCGAGCGCGGATGACACGGTGGGACGGGAGGTGGAACGAGTCTCTCTCGCGGATCGATCGGAAAGTTCGCCGCGTGTCGAAACTTCCCTTCCTTCCTTTTATTGTTTCAAAGCGGGGCCGAACGGTGTAAGTGATCGCCGAGGGAAGGGAGGGTTTCCCGAGTCGAGATCTCGATCCTACATTAACCACCGCGCGGTTCTACTTACCTGGCAGAAATCGCTATCAAAACGGTTCAATTTCTCCTGCGAGGGAAAGCATTTTTCCCTCGGGTTTATATAACAGTCTCCGAAGGTGCTGATTTCGAATTTGCGCTCACTCTGCGCATCCTGGCTGCTTCACCGGATTTAATGCAGCAAATCCCAGCCGTTTCATTATTTCACTCCTTTACGATCCGTCGTGCAATGTTGATGCGAATTATTGTACGGGATATTGTCTTTTAATATTACAATTGGTCGCTTGCCGCCGTTTTGTTGATAATTTGATCATTTCAAAAAAATACTGAGAAAAAAATTAACGGGGGAAAGGGTGCAGATGTGGGACGGGGTTGTAATGTGGGACTCGTATTTGTGCTAAAACCGTTGCTTGAAACTATGGTAGTTACACTCATTGGAAACATTAGATTCCGTTTAGCTTATTGGAGAGCAGTAAAGTGACGCAGCGTTTAGCCGTGTAAACGAATATTCAGTTTTACGAAAGTGCGATGTAACCATAAAGTAAGATTTAACAATTTTATAGATATACGTATTGTTAAGTGTAAAATATTAACTTTTGTGTGTCGGACGGTATTAAGATTAAAGTGTGAAGTGGTAAGTTAACTATTTGAAAATACGTGTGCTATACGTTCAGATTCATTAGATTGTGTAGAAGAATGACTGTTGGTCGCAATATGGAACGTCTCGTGTTACAATCAGTGCGACAGGCTTGGTGAAGAGAAGATTAAATAACGAGCTGCTGCAATCCCGGGTTCACAAGTCGATGATCGATGATTGATTTTTTCCCGACCGTTCGATTTGATAACTACTTTTTTTTTTCTTACTGATATGCTAACGAAAATTGAGGCTACATTCTGTTAATATCATGTCAATATCTAGCTATCTGCGTGATATGTAGAAGACATCACATAGGTGTCGACCGATTATTGATCTAGTCGGCACATAGTATTCGTATCATATCCAAGTTGAATCGTGATATCCATGTATGCTTGATGTGGATATGATATAAACTAGATAACGACCAAAGAGAAAGAGAGATAGAGAGAGAGAGATCGTCAATATATATATCTTCCAGATATTGTAAGCAAGTCTTGCAAATATCAAATTGAATATTAGTTTCCACATTATTTCTATATAATTTTAAACAGATTAAAGAGATTACTTATATTGTTATATATATATATATATATATATAGTTTTACACTTAAACATCAAATTACTCGAACCACTTTCTTGTCATTGTGTAAAAAATAACATGATTTTGATTGTCTCTTTTATATATAAATTTTGTGTATAAATACATTTGCAAAAATATTGAATAAATAATAAGAAACTCATAACACTATAAAAAAGGTTTTTTCTTTAATTTATCTGCTTGTTTCATGTTAACAACCAATTTACTCAGATCCTCGATTTGACACGTGTCGGCAAAAATATGTGTTTTTTTAACAGTTGCATGTTTTAATAACTAATAGTATTTGTTTTCAGATGTATGTACTAACATTATTGACGATTATTCANTTATTGACGATTATTCATTCAATATTTAAATTCTAAACTACAGTTTTTCTTTAATATTTGAAACTTTCCCGTATTTTACACTCTTTTCGTTATTTCGTTATCTTATCCTCACACATAAGTAAGAATATACTTAGCAAACATCCAACCAACAGTAATATCACATTAATATTATAATTTCTCACTCACCAATGCAACTGTTACACATACAACATGTATTATATTACACTTACATTCTTGAGTGGAGATGAGGAAAATTATAACATTGATGTAATGTTACTGTTAGCTGATATTTGCTGGGTATAACTTTATATGAAGTTAAAACTTGCTTGCATGAAAAAATTCTATATATATAATTTCACGAGAAATATCACATTCTCCTTTTTCAAAAATAATTTTTATGAATTGAGAGGAGAAAATATTGTATAAAAAGAACGATACTTTTAAACTAATACAATTCTCAGCTTGAAAATATCTTCCCTTCTATCCAATATTTTTTTAATTCATAAAAATTATTTTTCAGTCACAATGTATTTTTTGCGGAATTATAGAATTTCTTTATATAAGAGCAAGGTTTAACTTTCTCTAAGATTATATGTTCTTGCTTATATATGCGAATAACAGTCTAGAATTGATGCTAATTTTTTTTTTCTGCGTACCCAGAATACTTCAAGAGCAATGACGTGATTTCTCGGTCACCCGATGTGTTCGTCATCGATTGGCGGACTATAATAATTGGCAGAAGATACAGATTTATATATGTTGATCAAACGTTCCACAAGGGACTGTTTGACTTGATTAGTAGAGGATGTCCTACTACTGAAGGCATTCGATCTTCGCGTCCAGCTTAACTCTCAAGTATCGTTGCGTATATTGTCCCACCGATGAAGAATAGGAGAATAGGAAATGTTAGAGTTTGTCTGCAGACGCAAAATATTAATGAATGGTATCGTATATGAATGGGACACAGCACGCGTGTATCGATATGTGACATTTAAACTCACCGTCGCGCGGGTAAAATACGTCGTCGGTTATTGAAATATTTAATCGGCCGTCTCGTCAAACATTACGTCTCGTTAGCAATGTGTTAATTAACGTCCGTTTCTCCGATTAAACTGTATCGACGCGAGCGTCAATGTCAATGTCAGTATCGGTGTCAGTATCAGTGCCGGTTGCCAGTATCAGTGCCGGTGCCATAATGGAATATCCGGAGCAGCTGGGAGAAGGACACTAGATCAAAAAGTTCAAGATGGAGGCCAGCAATGCACCACGTATTTCGAAGTAAAATCATTTATATTATGCAGGACGATTTTATCGACCATTTGATGTGCTCACCGAGAATACAGAATGATATCCCGAGAGTCGAGATTTTAAATTTACTTTCTCCAAGATCAACTTTCATAATCTGTCTCTTCGCGATTCTTCGTTAACTTGTGACACTTATTTCGTACAACACGAGACACAAACCATAGAATGACAATCCATGAGTACGAATTTATAATTACGTTCTCAACGAAAGAACGTGAATACAATTACGAATACCGGCTTAAGCCTCGCATGTGTGTGTGTGTGTGTTGATATGTGTTTTGTCTGACAACATTCTTGGGAAGGCGAGCTGCACTTTGAATAGGTCAACATCTTTTTTCTCACTTCCGCTTATAGCTTGTTATTGCACAGAATCCAAGTTTAAATCTTTATTGATCTTTGGGAAACTATCTATCTTGGAACTTACTTTGGAATTCCCTTCTTCTCGCCTCTGGAATATCTAAATCCTATCAAAATTACCATTGAAATAACATTAACGAAGATATTGCGAAGAAAGGGAGAAAATTCATTGTTTTGTATTCTCATTTACTTGTTAATGTTTTCATAAGGTTACTTGATATCAGCTCAATGTACACTCTGAAGAAGTTGCACGTAATTAATACATTGCTTATTGAAACATTTCAGAACAAGGATTAAACGCAGACGGAATATGGAGAATACAATCCAATGTTAAATAATTCTTAAATGCTTTCTCGAGCCTCGACACGGAGAAAACGGCAGCGTGCAATTCATTTGTTGCGTCAAGGTGAGAGAATAAGCTGCACGGCGTTATATCTCGAGATTCCCCGCTGATCGTTCAAAGTTTAACGATATTTACGGAGTTATCGCGGAACCAAAATTTTAACACGAAATCCGCTTCGAGCGTAAGAACATCTTTTAATGAACGGTCCTTCATCAATTTCCGTTTCAACGCGGGACTTCGAGAACCCCTCTGGCGTGAAATTAACTAAATAATTTTTTTTCGTCGCGCTCGCAATTAGAAAAATGCCTTTCGGAATTCTCCCGACGGACGGGAATTGAGTATCGCCGAAGAATCTGCGGCACAAAGAAAATACAGCCGCGGCGAAATCTCTATCTCCCTTGTTGGCCGCAAGCGCAAACACCCGTCTAAATATCGCGGTATTTGCCGTTTGCTATGTGTGTGTGTGTGTGTGCCACGTATTTATAAAGTCACGCCTCAAAGCGCAATAGAGAAATTACCGTCGCCGCGCGCGTTGTCCTAATTGTCTCTTTAACCCGACCGACAATTTAATAACATATTAACTCCATGTTAATTCCGCAATATTCCGAAACGCCCTATCAGGACTTCTCCGCCTCCTCGGTTTATCACGCGCGCAACGAGAGCGACACCGGCGCTATCGTTACAATTAACGAGGTCGCGCGATACGACGTGAAATATGAATTGTGCGTTACGTTTAACGGTAACGTAGCGATAAAATGAGATCGTAAGATCCAGCCGGGGTATGGATACGCGCGCGCACACACGCGTAAATACGCGTGGATCGGTTTAGTTTTGCATCGCAATAATACACCGCGCCGGGCTGCAAGTATTTATTGCATTCCATCTCCATCGGCCGGTTCGCGCAAATGCGCGAGGGAGCGGGAACGTTCTTCGCGCTTTGCGATTATATGAACGATATCCCAGGCGCACACCATGAAGCCGCGCAGTAAATGTTTCGAATAAAACCCGCCGTTAGCTGAAAGACCTTTGTGAGCGGGTAACTCGCGAAAGCGTAACTACCTTTTACGTTCACCGGGTTTGCCGAGCGCCAAGCTCGATGCAAGTTTATTTACGGACACCTGCACGCTCATTCGTGTTCAGATTTCGCGCGGCTGCATCGCCGCCGCCCGCTCCACCCGGGGATATGTCCGACACGGCGCAGTTTGTATGT